GGCTGAGGCAGAAGGATCGCTGGAGCCCAGCAGGTCGAGGCTGCGGTGGCCGGGAGCGGTCACTGCACTCCAGTTTGGGTGACAGAGTGAGACTCCAACTCAAAAAAAAAAAAAAAAAAGATTTATCTAAGAAATACAAGGAAGGTTCAATATACAAATATCAATATAATAAACCACATTAATAGAATGAAGGGGGAAAAAACAAGTTATCATCTCATGTGATGCAAAAAAAAAAAAAGAGTATTTAAAGAACTCAACACCCTTTCATGATAAAAACCACTCAACAAGGTGGAAATAGAAGAAAACTACCTCAACATGACAAAGGGCATTTATGAAAGCCCACAACTAACATCATACTCAATGGTAAAAGAGTTCGTTTTCGCTCCAAGATACGAAAGAAGACAAAAATATACATTTTTTTTACACTTTCATATAACATTGTACTGGAAGTTCTAGCTAGAGAAATTATGCATGACAGATAAATAAAAGACATCCAAATTGAAAAGCAAGGAGTAAAACTATCTTAAAACTTTATATTTTTAGAGATAAGGTCTTGCTATGTTGCCGAAATCAGAGTGCTATGGCTATTCACAGGCACAAACATAGTGCATTATGGCCTCGATTTCCTGGCTTCAAGTCATCCTCCTACTTCAGTCTCTCAAGTAGCTGGCACTACAGGTATGTGCCACTGCACTCAGCATTGAAACTATCTATATTCACAGATAACATACTCTTATATATAGAAATCCAAAATAATCCACAAAAAAACTATTACTGCTAATAAATGAATTCAACAAAAGTTGCAGGATACAAGATCAACAGAAAAATCAGTTGCATTTCTTCAGACACTACCAACAAACAAGTCAAAAAAGAAATTAAGAAAACAATTCCATTTACAGTAGATCAAAAAGAATAAAACACTTTAAAATATATTTAACCACAGAAGTTTAAGACCTGTACACTAAAAACTACACAATATTATTAAAAATCAAAGAAAATCTAAATAAATTAGAAGATATCCCATGTTTATGAATTGGAAGACTTGATATTGTTAATATGGAAATATTCCTAAAAGTGACCTACAGTCAATGCAACCCCTATCAAAATGACAATGGCCTTTTGCAGAAAGTCATATACACCCACTAAGATGATTCAAAAGCAGAATAATGTATAAGAAATGTCAGTGGTAATATATATAAGTTGGAACCCACATGCATTGCTGGTGGGAAAATAAAATGGTACAGCTGCTGTGGAAAAAAGTTGGGTACTTCCTAAAAAGTTAAAGATAGAATTATCATATGCCTGGCAAATTCCACTGCTGGGTATTTATATATCCATAAGAATTGATAACCAGTATTTAAACAAAACTTGTACATAAATGTTTATAGTAGCACTATTCACAGTAGTCAAAAGGTAGAAACAACCCCAATGTTCATCTACTGATGAATGGATGAACAATGCGGTACATCCATCCAATGGAATATTATTCAGCCATGAAAAGAAACGATGTAAGGACGGGCTTGGTGGCTCAGCCTATAATCCCAGCACTTCGGGAAACTGAGGTGAGTGGTTTGCCTCAGCCCGCAGGTTCGCGACCCACCCGGGCAACTTGCCAAGATCTCGTCTCTACAATAAATCAAAAAAAGTAGCCAGGCGTGGTAGCGCACGCCTGTAGTTCCAGTTCCAGCTACATGGAAGGCTGAGGTGGAAGGATCGCTGGAGCCCAGCAGGTCGAGACTGCAGTGGCCGGGAGCGTGCCACTGCACTCCAGTCTAGGCAACAGAGTGAGATTCCAATTCAAAAAAAGAAATGATGTACTGACACTACAATACGGATAAGCCTTGAAAATTTCATGCTAAGAGAAAGAAGTCAGACATAAAAGGTTGTACATTGTATGATTCCATTGATGCGACATGTACAGTATAAGCAAAGTCATAGAGATAGCAGATTTGTGGTTTCCAACAGCTGGGATGACAGGAAAATGGGATGTGACTGCTTAATGAGTATTGGGTTTCTGCTTGAGGTGATAAAAAAGTTCTGAAACTAGCCACTGATAATAGTTGCACAATACTGCAAATGTACTCAATGTCACTAAATTCTACAGTTTAAAATGGTAACATTTATATGTATTTTTCTTATTTATTTATTTATTGAGTTGGAGTCTCACTGTCACCCAGGTTGGAGTGCACTGGCACGCTCACGGCCAATATAAGCTCAATCTGCAGCAAAAGGATTACCTGAGCCTGCCAAGTAGCTGGAACTACAGGCGTGTGCCACCACACCCGAATGATTTTTTTATTTGCTGTAGAGAGTTCCCGCCATGTTGCTCAGGCTGGGCTCAAACCCCTGAGCTCAGGTAATCCTCTGGCCTCCACCTCCCCAAGTGCAGGGATTACAGGCATGAGACACCACGCCCAGCTTATTGTTCTACATTTTTCAAAAGCTCTTTTCTAAACATTTTCCTATGAATAGACTTGAAACCTCCTAAAAATACAACTCATTTAGAAACAAAATACTTATACTGATTTTGTATATCAGGAGTTGACAAATATTTTTCAGTAAATGTTTTAGGTTTTACAGGACCTCTCTATTGGCAACTCCTCAAGTCTGCTGACTAAGTATGAAAGCAATCAAAGACTTAAGTAAGCAAACTGATGTGTCTGTGTTCTATTAAAACTTAACTTACTAAAACATGGAGCAAACCAAATTTGGACTGATGGCTGAAGTTGGCCAACCTCTGTTGTATATAATTGTTCTTTTTCATATTAATAGGGTTATTATGAGAAAGTATAAATCTTTTCTTGTCCAGATATATTATAAAATAAAGTTGAGTTATATTAAAACAACAAAGTTGTGTCAGGATATAGTCTACAGTAGTAAAATACTTACATTTACTGAGAATCAAATAAATTAGTAATGAAATAAAACATCACTCAAATTGAATAGAATATTAATAAAAGTTTTATGTTTACTTAAGCATTAGCTAAATGTTAATTTCAATGTGAACAACAGATAATCCAGTCATTTTTTAAGCTAATAATTTTTTCCTTTCACACAACTAAAGTGAGAACATCTGGTAGCTAACTTAATTTCCTTTTATTACCTTTCTCCATTTTTTAAATAAAACTTAGAAACTAAGATGAAATTTTATAATAAAATTCTGAAACTTTCCAACTTTTTAACACTGTTTTCTGAAACTTACTATTTTTGTAGCTAGTACTACAATAGTTGGGTACTCATTGTCCTAATTTTATTTTTTAGTTTAGTTTCTTCAGTCATGATTAAAAAGCTCCTTAAGACAACGAACAAGATTAAACCTAAGAAATGCTTACTATTTCATAAACCACCACCAATTTGAGATAGTAACAAATAATAAAATGACCTAGAGACAAAAAAGGTGAGTGGATTGCCTGAGCCCGCGGGTTCAAGACCCACCTGGGCAGCGAGACCTCATCTCTACAATAAATCAAAAAATCAGCCGGGCGTGGTAGCGCATGCCTGTAATTCCGGCTACTCGGAAGGCTGAGCCGGAAGGATCGCCGGAGCCCAGCAGGTCGAGGCTGCGGTGGCCGGAAGCGGCCACTGCACTCCAGTCTGGGCGACAGAGTAAGACTCCAACTCAAAAAAAAAAAAAAAGTGTTTAATCTACAAATCCTACAAATCAGGTCAGAAAACTCTTAAATTGCAACTTTAAGAGATGCTTTTAATAGTATAGACTTCAAAATGAAAATGAACTTTAAGAATTGTCTTTTATACTTTAGATACATTCTCAAATTCTAAGGGACATTAACTTTGAATAAGCCCATAGTAAATAAAATTGTAGCAAGTGGCTCAGAACACACTCAACAAATATTGGTTAAATAAATTCATGCCAATGAATCATTTTTGCCCTCAAAAAGTTACTTTCTCTAAAGGAATAAAATGTCTTTTGCAAATTAGTGTCCAGAACTGTATTGTGCCTATTCCGTTTCATAGCTGAAGAGGATGGAGAATGGCTTAGAAATGATAAGAGTAAAATTTTTCCTTCTAACCATCTTCTCGATCAGTTTCTTTTTTTTCCCCACTACTTGCCATTGGCATTTAGCTTAAATAAAGATCCTCTCAGTGAATGATAAATAACATATATAAACAAAACTGTCTTTCAAATAATTTTATGTCATTTCTAGAAAGGGCCTTTATTATATTTATATTTAATCTGTAAATTAAATATAATTTAAATATTATATTTAAAATTGTGTAAAGTAGTTGAAAAATCCATTAGATAAGTCACTTTAAGTAAAATACTAATCCTAAAAGAAAAACCTTTTAAAATCATTGTCCTCTGAATATATTTTAAAATAAAAGATAAAAACCTACTGACATCCTAAATACACCATCTGTTCAAGTGCTAGATTCCCTGCTATAGCAACACTTAAATTTTATTGTATTATGGCCGGATTCAGTGGCTCACACCTGTAATCCCAGTACTTTGAGGAGGATCACTTGAGCCCTGGGTTTGAGACCAGCCTGGGCAACATAGCAAGACCTCATTCCCACAATAAAATAAAAAAAATTAACTGGGCATGGTGGTGTGCACCTACAGTCCTAGCTACTAGGGAGGCTGAAGTGGGAAGATAGTCTCAACTCAGAAGTACAAGGCTGCAGCGAGCCCTGATCGTGCCACTGCACTCCAGCCTGAGAGACAGAGTGAGACCCCAACTTATAAAGAAAAATTACTGTATTATAAACTACTATATATCCTCATTTTGTAAACTAATTATTTTAGTTCAATAAGCATCAAGTAAGCAATAAAAACTGTTAAGTATGGTTTCAGAGAACATAAAAGATATAGGATACAATTTTAAATTTTCTCTCAATTTTACCTACTTTCAAGCTACTGCAGGCATGGCTAGCCATGAGCCAAATCTGAAAGCATCACTGAAGAACTTAATTATGTATGTTGAAATATGCAGAATATATAGTTTGTGATATATACTTAACTATGATATTAAAGTACTTACTCTAAAAGAGGTGGAAGTATTTCACAATTCAAAACAAAATCTCTGCATTCTGCATTGTCACCGGCAATATTACCAAGTGCCCAAACAGCCTTATAAAAATAAGCAAAAAAAAATTCTCTTAAGACAGTATCTTAAATAAGATGTTCACTTAAGAATGAGATTTTAATACAGAAGGAACAAAGCAACAGTTTTCAACATGTTAAAAAAAAAAGTAGAGCAGTAAGAAACAAAAACTTTTAAAATGCAACTTAATATTTTTAATCAAATTGAAAGGACATCTTAAAAGTTTTCCTTGCATACTAGTGAAAGATCTATGTCTTAAACAAAGAGTATATATAGTCTGTCTACTCTAAATCCACATGGAGAGACATCTAATTAGGAAATTTTCCAATTACAGGCATGTGCTGCATGATAATATTTTGGCCAGTGAGAGACTTCTTACATGATGGTGGTCCCATAAATTCATAATACCATATATTTGCTGTACCTTTCTAGTCTAGATGTTTAGATACACAAATACTTACCACTGCATTACAACTGCCTACAAAATTCAGCACAGTAACATGCTAAGGAGGTTGTAGCCTGGAGTCATAAGTTATACTATAAGCCATCTAAATCTGTGCAAGCGTACCCTATGGCATTTGCAAAATGACAAAAACTATGTGCTTCACAAAATGCATCCCCATCACTAAACGATGCATGACTGTATTGATACAGAGGTTTGCTCCAATACCAAGGAATCTACTCACTAGGAAGGGACTGACTTGTAAGATAAGAAGGGAAAGAGATAAAGCACAGAAAAGTGAGGTCATCACTAATACAAAATTAGCTTGGACTGATCCCTGAAAATAAGTATGAGATTAGCTGGGGTTCATTATAATTTTTAAAATAAGTGGCAGTAAAATATCATATTATTCACTTGCTAAATTTCAACTAGATGAGGAATTACACAAATGCAAATTATTTTACTGTATTCTCATTTCAGATTTTTTCATGTAAGAGCCATATGTGGTGGTTCACACCTGTAATCCCAGCACTTTGGGAGGCTGAGACAAGAGGACTGCCTGAGTCCAGGGGTTTGATAACAGCCTGGACAACCTGGCGAGACCTCATCGCTACAATATGTCAAAAAATTAGCCAGGAGTGATAGGGTATGCCTGAGATTCCAGTCACTTAGAAGGCTGAGGTGGAAGGATCACCTGAGCCCAGGAGGTCAAGGCTGTGGTGGCCATGAACATACCACAGCACTCCAGCCTGGGTGACAGAGTGAGACTTCAACTAAAAAAACAACCAAATTTTTCATGTAAACACAAAAGCAAACATGCTATTTTTCAACTGGGAAAGTTTTACTTTAATGTTTAAAATTTGAATTAACATTTTTTGTTTTTTTGAGTGGGACTCTCACTCTGTCACCCAGACTGGAGTGCAGTGGCCGCTCCTGGCCACCGCAGCCTGGACCTGCTGGGCTCCGGCGATCCTTCCACCTCAGCCATCCAAGTAGCTAGAACTACAGGCGTGCACTACCATGCCTGCCTCATTTTGATTTATTGTAGAGATGAGGTCTCACCAAGTTGCCCAGGCGGGTCTCGAACCTGCAGGCTCAGGCAATCCACTCACCTCAGCCTCCCAAAGGCGCGGAATTACAGGCTGAGCCACTGAGCCCGGCCTGAATTAACACTTTTAACATCTACTCTAGACCTAAGTTTGTTTGTTTGTTTTAAGAAAAACCTTTAAAGTAAATACATTTTCCATTCTGTGAAGTATAATACTCTATTGGTGGAGATATTAATTGATATAACTTTTTTGGAGGCCAACTTTGAAATACATAGTAAGAGCTTTAAAATTTTTATCTTTTGACAGAATAAGTCATTTTCCCTAATAAAATAATCAGCAGGCATATAAAGACTGATGACATATAATGACGTTCATCACAATGTTATTAACAATATTAATAAGAAATAACCAGAATGTACAACAACTGAGAAACAAATAACAGATTATGGTACATATCTGAGTGGATATTTAATAATCAGTAAAAATTTTCTTGGCAGAATAATGCCTTAAGAAATAGCTCCCAATATTAGTGTTAACTAAGAAAAAAATGATATAAAACAAAGCAGTGAATGGGATGGTAGAGAGAGCAATAGATTAATGTACATAAAAATGAAGCAAAACAGAAATGCTAAATTACTTGATTTTATGTAGATGGTGCAATTACATGTGAATAAACTTTCCCTCTTAAAACTTTGAACATCTATTCACGAACTTTATTAAAAAATGTTTCTAATCTAAATAATATGATTATTTTAAAAAGAAACAACAAAATAATCCACATACATGCAGAGAACAAGGAGTCAAATGAGTCCATGTTTTAAACCTGGTTCGGTCATTCACTATGGCTTTAAGTAAGTTACTAATGTTTCTAAATTCCACAATGCTTTTTTACAAATAGGAATAGTAGTTCCTATTATAGCTGAGATCACACTCATACAGAACTCAATATCACAAATGAACAGTTCAACCTTTCTCTAATTTAACACTCCCCGCAAAAAACTACTATATTTTACCACTGATATATACAGACAATTAGGCACAAAACTTGATCTATAAATCGTAATCACATATGGTATTTTCAAAAGAAAATTAAATTCTAGTATATATAACAATACAACCTAGAAACTTACCTGTTCCTGAACATCTTCATGTTCAGAATTAAGAAGTTTGATAAAAATTGGAACGGCCCCAGTTTCAATTACGACCTTGGTATGCAGAAAAGTTCCAGATGCTATATTAGTTAATGCCCAGGCAGCTTCAAACTAAGGGGGAAGAAAAAGTAAAGCAAATGAAAGCATCAAAGACATATCACAAAGGAAAAGGGAAGAAGAGAGGCAACAAAGACGCAGCTGAAGAAATCTGAAAGAAAGACTAAGTTATGATTAATAAGATTGATTGTAAGCCCGATGCAGTGGCTCACGCCTGTAATCCCAGCACTTTGGAAGGCGGAGATGAGAGGATTTCCTGAGCTCAGGAGTTCTAGACCAGCCTGCACAACATGACAAGACCTTGTCTCTACAATAAATCAAAAAATTAGCCGGGAGTGGTGGCTCGTGCCTGTGGTTCCAGCTACTTGGAAAGCTGAGGCAAAAGAATCACCTGAGTACAGCAGGTCAAAGCTGTGAGACACCAACTCACAAATAAAAAAAACCAAGCAAGATTCATTGTGAAATCATGCTTCATAGACATTTAAATCCTTAGGGAAAAAGTACTCTTGAATTCACATAGACAAAACTGAGAAAGAATATGATGAACATACATAAAATCAACAATACACAGACATATTTAAATTTGTAAATCATAAAACTCTTAATGTTTATTATTAGAGAGCCAAGTGTCCTAAGCAAGCACTTTAAAAATAAATTTTTAAAAAACACTATATGGAGCAATAGCATATTTATTAATAGTAAAGTTAGAATCATAAAAGGTACTTGTTTCCTTAGGGATCACGTAACCCCAACCTCCTCATTTAAGACATAAGAAAATCAGAAGCTGGGAGATGTAGGTATTTATTAAACATCAAGTGCTCATTATTAGCAGACTCAAGCCTGTAACTTCTCGTATTCTTTAAGCAGCAGAGCCTCTGAGAAGTTACTTATATTAATTAAATTTTAATTAATTAAAATTAAAATACACTTTACACATTATAGATATATAACAGAAGTAACTGAGAAAATTCAACCATAGCTCCAAAACAATGAACTAGTGAATTACTGAAAGCAACCTACAAATCCATGAGCAAACTAAGCAGTGACTACAGCTTACAAAACATCTCATATAAACAGATAACCTTTCACATGAACACAGAAGTCATTATAAGCAACAAAAAATTTTAAGGAAGAAATTATATTAAAAAATGAGACCACAGTCCTAACAAACTGTATGATGAAATAAACTAAAGGACAACTAAAAGGATACTCTACTAAATTGTCCCTGTTATCCCGAGAAAGCCTTAATGAAGACTAGTAAATTCACATACCTACCAGCAGACAACATGAAACAAGTGATATGAGCAAATGGTAACTGTGAAAAACCAGAGTGTATGCCAACAATTTAAAAACAGAAAAACTTACTAATAAAAAATAGAGACAGAGTTCCTATTCTACTCCATTTCATCTTAGCTATCTGGTCTCAATGCTAACTCTTCTGATTTGTCAAAAGAAGCCAAAAATCTGGATATTCACTTGAAATTTCTCGGTTTTTTAAGTCCAATATCTAGTTCATGTTTGAAAACAGATGCATGTCTGGGCTCGGTGGCTCAGCCTGTAATCCCGCGCCTTGGGAGGCCGAGGTGAGTGAATTGCCTGAGCCCACGGGTTCGAGATTTGCCTGGGCAACTTGGTGAGACCTCACCTCTACAATAAATCAAAAAAATCAGCCGGGCGTGGTAGCGCGCGCCTGTAGTTCCAGCTACTTGGAAGGCTGAGGCGGAAGGATCGCCGGAGCCCAGCAGGTCGAGGCTGCAGTGGCCGAGAGCGGCCACTGCAATCCAGTCTGGGCGATAGAGTGAGACTCCAACTCAAAAAAAAAAAAAAAAAAAAAAAACAGAAAACAGATGCAAATCAAAAAAGACTTGTTTGTAGGCCACTCCAGCCTGTGGCTTCCTGGTTTGAGGTCTCTCTAGTACTCAGACTGATCATCTGAATTAACATATTTCTTATGGACTTGAGTTACATGGCACACAGCATGTAACTGCCCAAGACTACAGTGTTGAATTTCTTTAGGTTTTAATTATAGTGATTAATAAATGCTCTAGTATCCAATATTCTTTAAAATACTGTGCTCTCTACACATGCTATCCTCCCAACCTAATATTAATTTTCCTCTTTTCAATTGGTCAATCTCTCCTTCATCCTCAAACCTAGTCCTGCAACACTATCTTTGTAATGTAACTTTACCCCAAACAGATTAAGTTACTATACACTAAGCATACTAGTTGTCATAGATCTGCTTTATGTCTGCCTTTCTCAATAAAGTAAAGAACTTCTATAAATAGGGACAATGTCTTAATTTTGGAACTACTTACATGTTTAGTTCAAACTAGCACTCAATATGCTTATTTCATATTCACACATTTCTTGTTTCATTCAGTTAAAATTTAACAAGTCAAAAAAACTAGATAACAAGAGGCCTGGGTTTCAGTCAGGACTGGGTCTTACATAATGCAAAGGAACTAGTTCTCAAGATCTCTGGTTCAAAATAATTGACAATAAAACTGTAACATGAATAAAGTAGTCTTTTCCTCAGTGACCCTTATTATAAACAGTCTCAATAATTTTTCACATTCACACATGCAACACATTCCCATGCATATACCTAAAATATGAGGACCTCTCTCAAATATTTCAGATAAGTAAGTGTACTACTACCCTGGGTTGTAAATTCAACAACTGTTATTCAAGTAACAGTCCTCCATTACAGACAATTGCATTGGCAAGTGAGGTATAGGTCTCATGCAATTCCTGATAAATGCATAAAATTCCACTCTCTACTCTTTTTTTTCTTTTTGTAGAAACAGAGTCTCACTATGTTGCCCAGGCTGGTCTTGAACTCCTGGGCTCAAACAATACTCATGCCTTGGCCTCCCAAAGTGCTTACAGATGTGAGAGCCACCATGCCCAGCAACCTTGTTCTTTATGCAGCAATCAACGTAAAGGAGCTGGGTATGGTGGCTCACACCTGTAATCCCAGCACTTTGGGAAGTGGAGGCAAGAGGATTACCTGAGCTCAAGGGTTAGAGACCAGCCTGGGCAACATGGTAAGACCTTGTCTCTACAATAAATCAAAATTAGCCGGGCATGGTGCTGCATGCCTGTAGTTCCAGCTACTTGGAAGGCTGAAGCAGAAGGATCACCTGAACCCAGAAGGTTGAGAATGCAGTGGCTGTGAGCATGCCACTGCACTCCAGCCTGAGCAACAGAGTGAGAGACTCCAACTCAAAAAAAGAAAGAAAGTAAAGGAAAGTAATTTTTTAAACATTAAAATATTTGAATACGTTAGTAATTTACCATCAGTGGCAAATTATTTGGAGGACATCTAAAAACTGTAACGATATGGTTGAGAAGCCATCCTCTTTATGACAAACCTAACTTTGGTCAAATTTTTAGTAACACTTTTGAAAAAAGAATTAATCAATCAACTAAAAATGTTTTAAGAGGTAATAGTTACAACCTGGTTAGTTAAATACCAAAATAAATTTAACTACTGCCGGGCTCGGTGGCTCAGCCTGTAATCCCGCACCTGTGGGAGGCTTAGGTGAGTGGATTGCCTGAGCCCGCGGGTTCAAGACCCGCCTGGGCAGCAAGACCTCATCTCTACAATAAATCAAAAAATTAGCCGGGCGTGGTAGAGAGCGCCTGTAATTCCGGCTACTAGGAAGGCTGAGGCGAAAGGATCGCCGGAGCCCAGCAGGTCGAGGCTGCGGTGGCCGAGAGAGGCCACTGCACTCCAGTCTGGGCGACAGAGTGAGACTCCAACTCAAAAAAAAAAAAAAAAAATTTAACTAGTAAGCTAACATTTTAGTTTGAGGTTTTCTAAAACAAAGTTATTAAAGATTGATAACTATACCTTTTTTATTATAATTAGTAATGATTTTACATACTTTTTCCAAAATTGCTTAATAAAATAATAATTCCTAGGAAAAACTAGCACTGCACTATGCCCAAGGCAAGAAAGGTGGCACTACCTTTTCCTTTCATTACGAAGTATTTACTGAATGTTTACAATATAGTCAATGTTGCAGAAGTTGCTTTCATTACAAACTTTAGCCATATGTCATTTCTAGAAAAAAATTTAAAAAGAAAACTTTAGACTCACTTGTAAAGTACAATTTTCGTTTCTTTCAAGAAATTTCACAAATCTCTGTACAACTCCTGGTTTCTGTATAACTTGATCTATCGGTGGATTAGGTTCTAAAAATTAAAAAAGAATTAAGTTATTACACAGACACAAAAAACAATGATCTGATCCCTGGGTCAATTAATACAGTACACAAAATAACTCTTTCCTAGGTTCCACTGATCCAAGTTTAAAACCTTTAGCTGAATGTAGCTGAAGACAAATGTTCTCATAATTACACATTTTTTTGCAGAGCAAACTGTACTTTTTCATTAACTGTAATAAATTTTGAAAATATTTCCTATGTAAATACTTAAATTTTATAAGTTACAATACTAAGTAGGTTTCAGTTCAAAACTCAGAACACCAACTGAAGAATAAGTTTCCACTAATTCTTTACAGTACTACCTTCGATTTCTAAGGACAGCTCCATCACTATCAACCACAACCTGCCTAATATCTCTCTACTACATGAGAATCTATTTTGTTGGGGAATTATTTATTATTTACAGAAATGCTACTGGTCTATATCTATAATTCTTGATAAATTTTCATGAAATCCAGAGGGCCTTTGAGAACCATAAAATCTCTAGGAAATATATGCAAAATTCAAACAAAAAGAATTCAGGTACAAATCATCTTTAAGTACAAAAACTTTTGGCCAGGCATAGTGGTTCACACCTATAATCTCAGCATTTTGGAAGGCTGAGACAGGTGGATCACTTGAACCCAGGAGTTTGAGACCAGCCTGGGCAACATAGTGAAACTCCATCTCAATTTTTAAAAAATAATTTTTAAAAATTTTAAATTAGTTGGGAGTGGTGGCACGCACCTATAATCAGTCCCAGCTACTTGGGAGGCTGAGGCAGAAGGACCACATAAGTCAAGGAGGTCAAGGCTGTGGTGAGCCATGATCACACTACTGTACTACAGCCTAGACAACACAGACTCCAACTCAAAAAAAAAAACAAAAACACAGCTCTTTCAAAGAATCTTTCTTCTAACTTAGCTTCAGCAAAAAGTACCCTTTGTAGTTCTTCAATAACTTCTGTTGATGGTCCTCTGCAGTCTTATTCCCACTGTTTATTGTTTTCTTAGAAAATGTACCTATCTTGTTAATTCAAGTATAACTTAACATTACCATTTGTGATAATTCACAAATCTAATCACCTTAACTGAATTCTCCTCTCCTAGATTTCAGACCATATTTCTAAGTGCCTATCAGATACATTTTTGCCTTCACACCTTCTTTTAAAATGTAGCATAACCCAAACCAAACTCATTATGTCACCATGCTTCCCCTGTCCTGCATTCACCACCCAGATTTGTCTATTACAGAGTTATCTAATCTCATAGGCAGACAAGGGAGAAATTCTCATTTCTACTTTTAACTCTTTTCTTCTCAATTCCTGTATCTGACTGCGTAACTGATCATAAATAACTCATATGTAAATGTTACCATGTGTTTAGTAAACAGGAGAATAAAAAATAGTAGCCCTAAAACTTCTGTACAAATTCTTCTTTTTGAAGAATTTTTTTTTTTTGGAGTTGGAGTTGGAGTCTCACTCTGTCGCCCAGACTGGAGTGCAGTGGCCGCTCCCGGCCACCACAGCCTCGACCTGCTGGGCTCCGGCGATCCTTCCGCCTCAGTCTTCCAAATAGCTGGAACTACAGGTGTGCGCTATCACGCCCGGCTAATTTTTTGACTTATTGTAGAGATGAGGTCTTGCCAAGTTGCCCAGACGGGTCTCGAACCCATGGGCTCAGGCAATCCACTCACCTCAGCCTCCCAAAGGCGCGGGATTTAGCCATCAAGCCCGGCTAAAACCTCTTTTTTAATTTGTAATTCAGTTCAAATCCTAAAAACCATCTTCTCAATTGTTAAGAAAGATTTATTCAGGGATAGGTCTCTTTCTTCATTTTCCCACAAATTTGCCATTCTTCTAACTTGAAAAAACTATGAGTTTTCTATAAAGTTAATAAAGGTATCTCATAAAGTTTTGTTTGGGTATTCTAAATGAAAAGTCCAGATTCTTCAAAACTCCAGACCCTAGCTTACACTATTATGGTGATAAAACATCAACAGGATAAAACAACATAGGTTCTTACTCCTTTCTCCTTCACATTAAAAAAAAATCTAAACAAAATTATAGGGCTGCAGTTACCAACTACACTTTCTTGTTTTGTATTTCCAAAAAAAATCTAAATTTATTATCCTTTTTTTTTTAAGGGACAGAAATTTTTTCTTGCTCTCCTTGAGAAGAGATGAGAGTGAGAGAAAGAAAAAAAAATAGGCTTCTGTGGTTAGCGTGTAGGGAGAAGTGGGCAATCAGATTGTCATCTATAGCTATATAAGCAAGCAAATATGTATAGTATGATATATGCACAGATGTAAGAATCCAAATATAGTCTCTTTCTGGAGAATTAACAGCCCACACTGATTGCCTTCATCTAAAAGAAAGCAATTAAAGTGCACTTGGATCATCAGCAATCTAACGTGTATCACAAACCATTATTAGTATTATATTGGCAGAATAATAATGGTCTATGTAATCTTATAGAGGTGATGAACTATTTTAGAGAAGATTTTTAGTCATTCTGACAATGGCTTTTAGTCATTGTGGCTATAATTAAAATGGGGGAATATCTGTTTCAGTACTGAAAACTAAGCCAAGAGTCATGCAAAACAAAAAAAGCCATGGAGAAATGTCTACAAAACTGGGAATGAATTAAAGGATGACTTGTTAGTTACATCCACAAGAGTGACCATAGTAGAGAAATACATAGAAGATCTAGCAAAAGATCACCAACATAGACTTAAATTAGAGGAGTAAAGGCTGGAGCTAAGGCGGCTATGGAGTAGCTAGGGGCATATTTATACCTCCCTAGTGTCAACAACAAAAACACTAATTATAATAACGAAATGCTTGCAAAAGAGGCAAAGTATCCCGTGAGTTCTGCTTCCAGTTCTAGTTGCTTTTCTATGTTTCCTACATAGATAGATCAAGTAAATATATAGTAAATATAATATTTTCTAGGCCTAGTAAGATTTGGCAGGAACTCACATCATTCAATAAAATAAATGATTCACAACTCCTGTTGTATGTTCAGCCAGGATAAGCATAATTCCATCATAAAGAAGAAACAGAGAAAACTATTATCTCTATGAAAAAGACAGTATGGTCTAAGAGAAACAGAATAACTTTCAATTCCAGCATATGAGGATAAAATTTTCTCACCAAAGAACTCCAAACTCAGTCAACTTGTTCAAAGACATCAGAAATACATAATTTAAACATGTTAAGGTTTAAAAGGAATTGTACCAATGCAACTTTCATAGGGCGGGGAGAAGGGAAGCAGTGGGAGAAAACCTTCAAGAAGTGTTCCTCTTTAATAAAAGATTAATCAAAATAAATAATCCAATAATGGGGAAGTTGTAGTATAGAAATACTGGTAGCAAACTCTGAAACTCTTAAACAATTACACCTAAACAAATTCTGTTAACCAATTATAACATGCATGTCAAAAAGAAATCTTGAAAGAGTATGATAATGTAGAAAACAATTTTTAAAATATTACTCTGAGCCAGAAAATAATCCCAACAAAAACAAAAATGTTGAAGACAGAAGCCATTCTTGATCATATGAGGACTTCTTAACATTGCTAAGCTACTCTAGTGTGGCATCCGAGGAATGAGAAAACAAGTCAAATGTAATTATGAACATGTACTGCAAAAAGAAAGCAAAGGTGAAAGTCTTGTAATCTATGCTGACCGTCTCACAAGATTTCTTTCATCATGTGTCACTAAATTCTGTCTCTCTTAGGAAGATAAGGCAGCTGAGCCAACAGCATTTTCAAAATCTAATCAGTTCATGTATATAATCTCATAAAAGTAGAATTACTATTATATAAATCCCATATATGAAACACAAGACAGACTAAAATTTAAATCTTTAATAATGAATTCTTATAAACTCAATATAAAACTGGACAAATAACATAAATAAGAAATTATGTGTTACTTATTTAAGAGCCAATAAATAAGAAAAAATATTCAATCTAATTACTAAAAAAGACCATACAAGAAGTTACTATCACGTAAGTATTTATTCCTTTCTTAAAGGTAATTGTGAGTGGTTGGTAAAAAAATACAGTGAAATGAATACTTGTACAACTAAAGATGGAAGTGTAAATTAATATAGTTTATTCCCTTCAACTCATGATTTCACTTTTATGAATATATATTAAGTTTCAGACTGTACAACCACTTCTACAGCATTATCATAATCAAAAACTGGGAAAAAAATTAAAGTCCTGATTATTATTTTATATTCATACTACATAATGTTATGTCATCATTTAGAAAAATCACGTCTGAAAAATATTTCAAAAAATTTTAAAATATGTATCTCTAACATTATTTCTTGGCAGCAAAATTAATAACTTTTATATTTACTTTTTTAAATTCTTTTATATTCTGCAATTTTTCTATAATTAATATGTGTTCCTTTGATAATATAATGTTCAAAAATGTATGTTATTTTAAAATATAAAGAGAAAACAGGACCCACTATTCTGGCAAACAAAGGTGTTTTAAAATTTTAAAAAACCTAATAAAATAAAGCTCTACCACAAAATCCTATAATATAAATAAGTATATACAAGAAAATAATTCTTGCCTTTAGAAAGCAGCTTTCTAAATTTCTGTGTTGCTGTTAGCTGTTGATCAGCATTATTAGAAAAAATCATCTGAACCATGTCTGTGGTAATAACTTCTTCCTAAAATACACAAAAGAAAACATAATTAACTTTTAAATATTTTGCATGAATAATATTTGCTGTACATACTATCGCTGAAATATTATAGAGGTACAAAATACATTTTTGTAAGATATACCTCTGGAATGGGTACAGTAGAACTGACATCTGGATCCTGTATAGGACTTTCCAGCATAGATTCATCATTTCTGGGCAAAGAGACATTTCTGCGTTTGAACAACTGCAATAAGAGAAATAAGTTTATACGCTGAGCATTGCACAAAGCATTCAACTGTCAAAGATATCTAATTTTTTCATTTGAATGGGCAAAACAAATAATTTTATAATTTAAAATTCTGAGTACAGAATTTCTCAATCATTATACCAAGAATCCTAAAGTAATTAGGAGAAGTCAAACTTTCCGAGCTAAGTTGGTTTCTGCCCTGCACAGACTATTTTGGGTCATTTCAACTTCAGATCTTTTACCAATAGCCATATGGTAAAAATATGTAGTTTACACATTTACATTTTACAGCACTCAAAAAAGAATATATCCCACACTAGATTATAAGCTGCCTAAGAATTTTTCCAAAAAAATCTTAATTAGAGAACAAATAAGTGGGCACTGTGGCTCAAGCCTGTAATCCTAGCACTCTGGGAGGCTGAGGTGAGAGGACTGCCTGAGCCCATGGGTTCGAGACCAGCCTGGGCAACTTGGTGAGACTTCATCTCTACAATAAATCAAAAAGTTTAGCTGGGCGTGGTGGCGCATGCGTGTAGTTTGAGCTACTTGGAAGGCTGAGGCGAAAGGATCACCTGAGCCCAGCAGGTCAAGGCTGTGATAGCCATGAGCATGCCACTGCACCCCAGCCTGGATGACAGTGAGACTCCGACTTAAAAACAAACAAACAAAAAAAATATATATATGTTACACAGCAAAGATAACATACGTTAACAGAGTTAATGAACTCAACATAAAAAGAATAAAAACAATTATCATGAAAGATAGCCTTGTATTTATTAATTCAGGAGTGGATAAAAATGAAGGAAAAAGAGGAAAAAACATGGTGAAGTCAGCAAGGGAGATTTATAAATACAGTCAGCCCTCTAGATCTGCAGACTCTGCATCCCAGATTCAGCCAATCTCAGACCCAAAATATTGAAAAATAAAATAATATAAAATAAGGGCAACCCATTTGGGTCCCCTCCCACTGTGGGAGTTTTTCTGTCCTCTTAATAAATCCTGCTTTTTCACAAAAAAGTAAAAAATAAAAAAATAAAAAACTAGAGATGGTAGCACATGCCTGTACGTCCAGTTACTGAGTTGAGAGGACTGCCTAAGCCCAGGAGTTGGAGGACAGCCTGGGCAACATGGTGAGACCCCACCTCTTAAACAACAACAATAAATCAATACAACAATAAAAATAATACAAATCATAAAACAATACAGTATAACAACTCAACCACATAGCACTTACATTGTATTGGGCACTATAAGTAACCTAGAGATTGTTTCAAGTATATAGGAGGATGTATGCAGGTGTCTGCAAGTACTACGCCATTTTATGTTACAGTTATCCTTCCCTGGACTAGCCATGGCATCTTAACAGAAAGAGAGAAATAAACAGACACTGATAACTCTCAAAACAACATAAGTCACTTACTCTAAGGAAACTAAATTCAGGTTAACTGACTAAACAGACCAACAGAGTCCATTCTGAAAATTATATAGGAAGAATATATTCTCTCACGCCCCTATAGATTAGAGCAAAATGACACAATATTTTATAAATAACATATTAAACAAATAATACTTATCTAAACGCAAAGTCATTACCCTACTTTACAGATTCTAAGGGACTTGAGCATCAGCAAACTGGGGGTCCTAGAACCAGTTGCCCTGTGGATACCAAGGGAGATTAAACATTTTCTAAACCAAAATGTGAGGAAAAAGTCTGGTTAAATTATTTTTGACAGCTAAATAAATATTGCTCTTCTTTAATCCGTACACACTTCTCTAATCGTTCATTCAACAAGATTTTCTTTCAGTACTTACTCTATCATATCAAGGACTGTGGGAGAAAAAAAATCATCCTATTTCTAAAAAGGGCTTTTTCTACTTTCTTCATTGCTGGTCCTTTTCACACATTTCTTTTAATTCATTTATGTGGGAATCACACCCTCGCATTTATAAATATTGTTAAAATTAAGTATATCCTGGAATAAAAATTATTGAAATACACTCTCTTAAATAATTTCCTGTTCTTTATGTCCCAGATGCAAAGTATAAACAGAGAAGGCTAAGAGATCTAACTGATGAGACAATAAAAAAAAAACAGTACAATAAAAAATACAAATAATAAAACAGTATTTTCTTTTATAGGAGGTACAGCATGAACATGAGTAGCATGGGACGATGATTATAATTAACTGAGAGGCAAGAACTATAAAAACCACATAGCAGCAAATAAATAAATGGAATTTTTAGGGGCAGATTTTACAATGACAAATGGCAATGATCTAAATAGATGCAGGAGTAAAAATTTCTTAGCAGTGGGGTAAAATATGTTCAATATAAAAGGCTTATCAATAAAACAGAAAAGACATTCTCCCAGTGACTAAAAACAGCACAGAATTCTGACTCACGAATGTGTAATGATTACGCCTAGAGTTTCACAAATTGTAATAGACTTGGCTATATTCAATTTCCTAAAACGCTTCCATTTATAATTACCTAATAATTAGCCATAATAACTAAACTTCTAAGACCTCTACATAATTTTTTTGTTAAAAAATTAAATATCTAAAAACACCTACCTGTTCTTCTCTTTTTTGTTTCCTAAGCTGTATTCCTTCTTCTTCTCTTCGTCTGCGCATCTCTTGAGGATTTAGGGCTTTATTCTTATAACTTTTCATTCTATAGTTATCCTTCCCTGGACTAGCCATGGCATCTTAACAGAAAGAGAGAAATAAACAGACACTGATAACTCTCAAAACAACATAAGTCACTTACTCTAAGGGAACTAAATTCAGGTTAACTGACTAAACAGACCAACAAAGCCCATTCTGAAAATTATATAGGAAGAATACATTCTCTCACGCCCCTATAGATTAGAGCAAAATGACACAATATTTTATAAATAACATATTAAACAAACAACTCTGACCTAAACGCAAAGTCGTTACCCTACTTTACTGATTCTAAGATGCAACAATCTTCCCTATCCCCTAAAGCTAACAGCACTTAAACCTTTCTGAAGCATCTTATAACCACTGTTAGTCAGGAAATAATCAAGAGCTATTTAGGTTTTTAAAAACTTCTAAATTACAGCTTCTAGCAAGATCAAAAAAATAACCAGCATTGAAGTATTATTTTTAATAAAAGATGGCGTAGGCTTCAATAAGCACACCTCAAATAGTTATTGAGGTCTGGCTTATCTCACTTACCTAAAAGCCACAAGGGTCATGACTTGAGTTATGATTGCAATACCAGTTTTCAATACTCCAGTTTAATGAGTTCTTTTGAAATACTAAAATATATATATATTTTCACATTTTACTATAAATGCATCTTAAAACATTAACATTTATACAGATATTTGTAGTATATATAAAATATTGTATGTAAACATAATCTTTTATCTTTGAAATATATGTACTAGTTTTACTTTTAGAAAGTGAATTATGGCCAGACACAGTGGCTCAAGCCTGCAGGTAATTCCAGCACTTTGGGAGGCCGAGATAAGAGGATTGCCTGAGCCTGCAGGGGGTGAGACCAGCAGAGGGTTTGAGGCGAGAGGACTGCCTGAGCCTGCGGGTTTGAGACCACCCTGGGCAACCTCATCTCTACAATAAATCAAAAAATTAGCCGGGAGTCGTAGCATATGCCTGTAGCTCCAGCTACTTGGAAGGCTAAGGTGGAAGAATCGCCGAGCCCTGCAGGTCAATGCTGGGGTGGCCACGAGCGTGCCACTGCATGCCAGCCTGGGTGACAGAGTGAAACTCTAACTCAAAAAAATAAAAAAGAAAGTGAATTATAAGCATTTAATGATGTATGTTGCTATTTTGATATTACCTATATGAATATTAAAATAGTGATATTATAACCTATTCTGGATTTACACGTCAAGAAAAAAGTCAGTCCAAAGCAGGGTTTCAACTTGAATGTAACATGAGAGAAAATTAGTGATGTTATTCTGGTAAATTCAGAGGACATACTTACATCCAGAGAAAATATAGTAATCAATTAGCCTACAAAGAAACACAAAAGATCTCTGCCATCCCTGATGTAGAAAAGATCGACTAATGAGCTGACAAATATTACTGTAAGCAGTAAAGCACACTGAGGCATATGCATTAAGTCCTGTGAAAGCACAGAAAATATGTGCCTCAGGCAGCTCTGACAGCCTCACTGTTCTCTCATCCTCAAGGATGAATAGGAATTTACCAGAGAAGAGAATGAAAAGGGAAATGGGAAGAAACAAAGCATTTCAAGCAGAAGAAATACAAGCAAAAACAAGTTTTTGACGAATCCCAGCATAACCAAGAACAGTGAGAAACTCTTGTTCATGACTAAACAAGAGGATGCATGGGAGAAACCAGAAACAAAGCTATCAAGTTAAGTGAGGAAACAATGGTTCCTTTAATCCAGTTGAGAAATCTGGACTTGATGCCAAGGAAAAGAATTAATGAATTAAGGAGAAGGTTGTTTCAAATACTCCAAGGAGGGATAAGAGAGATGATGAAGTCCTGAACTAAATAAATAGCTACCATAGAAATACAGAAGGCAGGTTGGATTCCAGAAACATTTCTGAAATGGATTCAGTAAGAATTAGAGGCCAAATGAATGTAACAGATATGTGGTGAGAGAAAAGGACATGGAGGATAACTCCATGGCTTTTAGCTGAGCCATTTCATTGTGTGACAAAATAACCCAAGATAGGGAATACATATGAGGGGTTAAAATAGTAGTTGTTTGCATGCTGGCTTGTTTCTGAGATAAGAACAATGACGTTAGCTATTTTATTTTTTAATTTACAATCAGTAAAAATCACTTTCAGTATACAGTTCTACGAATTTAACAAATATACAGATATACAACCATCACAGTTCTGTCACCCAAAAACTCCCTCATGCTGCTCCTACTGACCCTACCTCCACCCTTAGCAGCTGGCAGCCACTGACTTGTTCTCCCATCTCTATAGTTCTGCCTTGTCCTGAATTTCACATAAATGAAATCATAAGGTATACAGTCTTTTGAATCTGACTTCTTCTATGTAGCATAGTATCTGAGAGTCATCCATGTTGTTGGCATCTATCAAAAGTTTGCCCCTACTTATTGCTAAGCAGTATTCCACTGTGTGGATATATCAACTTATCCATATTCCAGTGAAAGAACATTTGGGTAGCTTCCAGTTTTTCATGGTTATGAATAAAATTGCTGCAAACATTCATCATGTGCAAGTGTATGTGTTAACATAAATTCTCATCTCTCTTGGTAAATAGGAGTAGGACTGATGAATAATATGACAAGTGTATGTTTCACTTTACAAAACTGCCAAACTGCTTTCCAAAGTGACTATACCAGCCTGTGTTCCTATCAGCAATGTAGAGTCCTAGCTGCTCTGTATCCTGCTTTCATTAGGTATTGTCAAGATTTCTGTTGTTGTTATTAATTGTAGCCATTCTAATAAGAGTACAGTGACTTTGGTTTTAAACATGGAGATAAAGGTAGAATGGAATGGGCTGAGGAGTTGAGAACGACTGAAAAGGTACTTTGAGCCTTTGAAGTTAACACCTGTATGTTCTATAAGTTAAAATGCATTTAAAACTAAAATTCCTCTTTTAAAATGTTTAACAGATTTCAGAAATACTGTGTGTATACAAATAGTTATCATTAGACATTGCTCAGTATAACTATTAATAACAATGTTTAGCGTTATTCTCGAATCATTATACACATATAAAGCTGTCTCATTACTAATAGCTTAGGCTCTTGGAGGGGAAAAAATAAGAGATTAGAGTTCATTACAGAGCAAGCTGAGCTTCAACACTAGTTATTTGTTAAATTATGCTCAATACATAAAAAATATCTTAGTAAAATAAAATGTTCATAGAAGTAAACCTCTTAAAAATATTTATCACCTATATATTCTAGGCCACTGGCTTCTAAACTTTTTTTTTTTAAGATTTTTAAAATTTTCAATAGCTTTGTCGGTACAAATAGTTTTGGCCTGGGCCTGTACCCACCAGTCCCACCTGCATCTAAACTTTTTTGAGCACACATCCTAGATATACTCCTCTATTATAAAATTCACAAAAAAATGGAACTTATAAAAATTAAAGTTTGAAAAGGTAAATAAACAGAAGTATTTTCTTCTCACATCTGATTGTATCACCTTGTACCTCACTCCCCAACACACACACACACTCACACCCAGACATTACTTCTGAGACCACTAATTCGTGCAACCACGTTATCACGGTTCAATATAAATTGGTTAACCGTAAGTGTAGCCCCAGCAACTCCTATCTCACGCGTTCCTTTAGTATTGACTTCTGACTTCCTGCTTCCTACTTAACACCTGCATCCTCACTGCAATTGCTTTGAAGAGGACAAGAAGGCCAGGGAAAATTATCTCCAGCGGTGCCTCACCCAATAGGACTGTCTCCTTCCCTGGAATATAAATTTAAAGACTGTACTACTAAGGCTGGGTGGGGTCTCATAAAAAGCTAAATATAAGAAATGCAATTCAGACACCTTAAAGTTGCAAACAGAAAAAAATTTTTTCATTCATAAGTTTTTTTTTTTAACCAGTTCTTTAAAAAAACATGTTGAAGTTAGGCAAATTAATAGAATCTGAACTCTGAGTTTTTCTTTTTTAATATCCACTAACAGCACTTCTTAAGCCTCCAGTCTAGGTCTGGGGAGTCTGACCGGAGTCCCAGGCGCTAAGGAGGCTGAGTCCTAGACGGGCAGCCTTGGTTTGAAGTTTCCCGTCCAGGATCTAGGGAGTCCGACTGGATCCTCGGGCGCTGAGGAGGCCGAATCCTGGACGGGCAGCCTTGGTCTCCTGGGCAGCGCTGTTCCTCGCCCACCAGCAAACTTCCTACAAAACGCCGGTCCCGCTGAGGCAGTGGCAGAGCCAAGCCATCAGTCTCCAGCATGTGTCTAGGAGCCCAGGAGCGAAGACCAGCGTCACGTTCTCTCGAGTGTCGCCTCGCCGCCCCCAGCCTTCGAGCCCTCAAGCGTGCCCCCTGGACAGGAGCTGACTGCCTCCAGGCCAGCGGTGCGGGACCGGGGATGGGGGACGCGTCAGGAGAGCACTGCGGCCCCTGCGCGAGGGCTGGACGGCCCCCGGGTAGACCTGCCAGCTCTCGGGCTCCGCGGGACGTCTGCACCCGCCAGACGCAAGCAGCCGTGGAGTCCAAGGGCGAGGGGCAACGCGGGGAAGAGCCACCGGGAAACTGAGGGCGGCGCGACGGAGCGACAAGGCCCCCAGTGCCCCTAGAGCGCCATCCGCGCGACGCTACTCCGCGCCGCCAGGAAAGGCCCAGCCGCCACGCCCCCGCGGCAACCGTGGCCGCAGGGAGCCGGAGAAACGCCGGCCCTTCGCGAGGCCCTGAGCCCTTCGCGAGGCCGGGGTTCCCCAGCCTGGCCTGTGTCACGCCCACTTACCCATGAACGTGGCGCTCCCCGCGGCCCTGCCTGCCCAGGCCCTGCAGCGACGTCTGCGGCGGTAAACGAGGAGCCACCCCTCCGCCCTTCGCGTGAAGCGTAGCCACTGGGTTCGCAATCCAAGATGGCGGCCGCCTGCGCCCCTTCCCGAGCCCCGAGGCTCGGCTCCCAGACGCCCTTGCACGCGGCGGCGGCGGCGGCGGGGGCGTGGCCTCGTGGACCGGCGAGGCTCGTGGAGCAGCCCAGCCCCACCCGCCGGGGGAGGAGCCGGCGCATGTACATTGCACTGGGTCCGCGTTGCACGCCAGATGTCTCTCGGTCTCCGTGTGCCCATGGGCGTCCTCTCCTTCCTTCACTCATCTTTTCCTGGGCTCCAGCCTGTAGCAGACACCGTTTTAGATGCAACATTGTGCTACAACAGGAAAAATCCCAGCCTCGTGGAGTTTGCAGGGGCTCGCGCTCTCTTGAGCTTCATTAACTGCTTCCTCTATGCGTTGTCTTCTGTCAGACTCTTTAATTGGCAATTTATTTGTAATTTGGGATTCTATAACTTCTGTGGATTTTTGACAAAAATGTAGTCACGGATCTATTAAATGAATAACTCCTGATAAAATGCTGTAAATGGTAACACACATAGCCTTGTAATCTATCCTGGAGTTCCACAAACTATTGAAGCTGTCCCAGAAACAATGCTAGGCGTAGGATACAAGATATATAACACAGGATTCCTGCTCTTAAAGAAGTTTGCAAGGTTTTTTTGGGGGGGGGACGAACTGTTATCAGATTTTTGTGTGTTCAACAGTTTAAAAATAGTCACAGAAGAGAAGGGATTATTTAACTGTACAAGAAGGGACTCAATAAAACCCAGACTTATTTGGGGGAAGGCAGGCCCCATGTAGTACAGGCTTCCATCGCTAGGCAAGTGTTCTAGGAACCCATCAGCATCCGTGTACCAGCTGGCGTTGTGAAAGGCTGCAATCAGCTTCAGTGATTTCCCCCCCCCACTTTGGCGGGGCGGGGGGAGGGTAGGAGAGATCACCTGTTTGCCCATTTCATGATGGATGATTTACACAAACAACCTGTCCACACCATGCTGAGTGTTCAGAAGTTTTTAACTACACAGCATAACCCCCATGTGCGCCATACTCCCTATTCACCCAATCTCTCCCTAGTGACTCTTTTTTGTTGCCCTGAATGAAGAAAGTCCTCAAAGGGAAACGTTTTGCTGCTGTGGAAGAAGTGAAAAAAAAAAAAAAACAGTAGAAGAACTAAAAGGCATCAAAATTAACAAGTTAATAACTGTTTTGAGCTGTGGAAAAAAATGTCTCAATAGGTGTATTGCATCAAATGAGTACTTTGAAGGTGACAAGTTTAAACGTAAGAATACACAATTTTTTAATAAATAATTCCTGAAGGGATTTTTTTGGTGCCCCCGCCCCATGTGTGGCTGAGAAAGAAAGGCAAGCTTGACAAAGGAAACCTGGATATGACTACTTTAGTACTGATAGGGGTTTATTTGCCTTAATCACCTGGCCATACTGTACCTTTCTTGTTTCTTCTCTCCCCCTCTCTCTCCCAAGAAACTGAATATACAAACACAGTAGCCAGACTATATGTAAAAACAGAATGCTATCCCAAAACCTGCAGGAAAGTAGCCTAGGAAACCAGCCTACTGTGTGCAATAACCAGCCCAAGTTAGACTACTTTTTGTAGTATCCCAGTCTAGGAAGCCAAACAATAACCATTGTAGTTATCTACCCCAAATGGCCAGGACTTGAGTAATAACTGGCATCTTCCCTAATTTTTGTCTCTGTCAAATATGGACCCACCCTGAATTACTTACATAGCATCCTATGTAATTGATTACTTCTAATTAACAAACCTATAGCTCCTCCAATGAGGGCATGAGGGCATATCTGAAACTTTTCCTTTTTTCCACTTCAAAGCTTGCCTGCTCTGCCTGTCTTTTAGTCTCTGACAAACACAGGTGGTGATAGCTGACTCCCTTGCTATTGTAAACTCTGAATAAATTTGCCTTTCTCATTTTCATTTAGATGATTGGCACTTGCTGCTACATTCCTAAAGAAGATTCCTGCTATATGGACATGCCTCTCCTCTGGATAAATATAATAAAAGAAATGAAATGGTGACTCTCAGACCACCCCTCAGCAGGCTTTGGGGCCATACATTTCCTATCTAGGGAAGAACCAGAGGAATGAGATTGGTATCAAGACATTGACTTCAATATTTTGTCTAAAATGTCAGCCACAGCAACTTCCATCTAAGATCTGACCTTCTATCCAGTTCTGCCTGTCAAAACAGAATGTACTTCTCAGTGTTTCTTGTAACCCAAAGCTGCAGCTTCATAAGTAGGGAGGGTATTACCCTGTTAGCTTACCTCCTCCAAAAGCCACAGTTGAAAAGGTAAAGGTTCTAACCTGTTGGTTCAACAATTTTTCTTTACTTAGGCTGATGCTGTGGTCTGAAAGTTTGTGTCTTTCTCAAATTAATGTGTTGAAACCTAACCCCCAATGATGGTATTAAGAGGTGCGGCCTTATATTCATGTGTAGAAATTATGATATTAAGAGGTGATAAGATCACCGAGGTAGAGCCCTACTGAATGCTGTTAGTGCCCTTGTAAAAGAAGACAGAATGAACTGCCTTGTACGACCTCCATGTGGGGCTAGAGTTATTCCTTATGAGGAAACTGGCCATCACCAGGCATCAAGTCTGCCTGAGGCTTGTTCTTGGACTTCTAGTCTCCAGAACCATGATAAATACAGATGCTCCTCAACTTATGATGGTGTTATATCCCAATAAACCCATTGCTAATTTGAAAATATTTAGTAGAATGTGCATTTAATATACCTAACCTACTGAACATCATACCTTAGCATAGACTACCTTAAATGTGCTCAGAACACTTATATTAGCGTATAGTTAAGCAAAGTCATCTAACACAAAGCCTATTGTATAATAAAGTTATTATAAAGATTTTTGAATCAAAATTCAAATTTCAAGTACAGTCTTTACTGAATGCATATTACTTTTGCACTATTGTAAAGTCAGAAAATAGTAAGTCAAGCCATCATAAGTTAGAGACCATTTGCAAATGTTTGTTTTGATAAGTTACTGAGTTTATAGTACTTTTGTTATAACAGCCCAAATGGACTAATGCAGCAGGTAAGTTTGCAAAGTGAGAACATATTTTGTCCAAGATCCTGATGATTGGTGCAAAATTAAAATTTGATTTACTTTACAGTGACTCCATGAGATTGGAGAAACTGAGGCACAATTGTATGTATAATTAGAACTTTCTACTGTCATAGTGCTAGTAAAAGGAGCAGCAATTTGTAGCTAAGTATTTGATCTTAATAAGAAGTAGATCAAGAATCAAAGTTATTATTAGGAGGATCATATTGTGTGATCTCAAATTTTTGAGAGTGGAATGGGATACTATTAATAACATTTTTGGAATAACTGTCCTGAGCAAACTGGGACACATGGTCATTATAATTATTAAATTTGTGAATTATTGTTAAATTCTCCTCATTTCTATATCACAAGTTATTTTACACCGCAGTATGTGTCCTTGGCTGTCAGAGGCCTGATACAGGGAGACAGACTGGGATTCAAGATTTCCTGCCTGACATTTATAGAGTGCTCTTCAGTAATAATAACTGTAAGGGGTGAGGAGGCAGGATTCTGTGGAGAGATAAATTATGTGTTTATAACAAAGTTCTTAGACAATTTTACAGGAAGTGCAGGATCTGGAATGGTCCTTCAGAATTGTTGTTATTGTGACTAGAGGCTCATTTTTATATTATGAATCAGACAGTCATTGAATGTTTATATTCCTGAATCAAGAAGTCATTGGATATCACTGAATTAATTCCAGAGAGCAGGCTTAATCTTGAGAGAGGCTGTTAATTTTATTATTTTAAAAAAATTCTTCTACTGTCATTTTGGTAGAGTTTGAGAGGCAGGGGAATATAAATGTACACGTTCAATCTGCTATGTTTAACCACAGGCCCCCAAAATGATTTTTTAGAATATACTGTTTATCATCAGTTCATATCACCCTCCTGTTTAAATACCCCAATAATTTTCTACAAAGTCCTACATGATTAGGCCACTATCCACAACGCTGACTTCATCTTGTCACCATTCTTCCCACTATCACGTTATGCTCTTTTTGTTATAGAATTAGGTCTTCCTTTTTGTTATTTTATCTGTCTAAAATGATTTCCTCCTGCTGGCGTAAGGCTTGTTCATCAGCAGACTCACCTTCTCAAAGAGACCTTTTCTAACAACATTAGTATGTCTATAACCTAGTTTTGCTTTTTCATAGCACTTATGATCTGTTCATTGACTTTTTATTTTCTTTGCCTCACCAAAATGTAAGTTCTAAATGTCCTGTATGTTGTGTATTTTGATTACTGTTGCAGCTCCTGTTCCAAGCAGAAGGACTCTGTAACAGGCACTTTTTAACTATTAAAGGCTGAATGACAAAAATAAGGTATCTGTGACCTTGTAACCTTAAGCAAAGAACCCATCTTATCCTCCCTCTGGGTGCATGTTGGGAACTTGATACCTGCTAGCCCGATTAACCCTTTATTGATACCAGAATGGTGTGCTACTCAGCAGGTCCTCAGCACTGCTGGTTGCCCTTGGATCTGTCCCATGAACTCACTCATATGAACTCGTGAAGATCCCAGAGCCTGGTTTACTCTGCTAGCAAATCAAGAGTCAGATCCCTCAGGGGAGGAGAAAAAAAGATGGCAGTGGGCGGGGAATGCAGAAATGACTACGTCTCCCAGAAAACAGCGCGCCTCCCAGGATGCACCGCCACCCGAGCGGAGAGGAAGGGGCAAGCCGGGACTCCGCCCCTTCCGGGGTCCTGAGGAAGTGGTTGTTTGAATGCGAGTTGCGCCTTGGGCTGTTGAAGTCTCCAGCTCTTGTCCCGGTTAGCTGTGACTCTCTGGGTGCTTGGGAGGGCCTGGTCTCAGCCCTGCGGGCCAAGCGAGGGGTTGGCCGCCGCGCGCGCACTCCTGCGGGGGGACCAAGGCAGAGGTAGAGCGCAGCGCAGCCGGGCAGCTGCCGGGCCTCCAGGTGGTGAGGGCTGACGCCAGGTCCTTCCTCCTTAGGCGGGAAGCTCCGACCCGGTGGGCGTCTCAACAGGCTTCGGGTCCCGGCGGAGGCCGCTGGCGAGAACTCTGGGACTCGACCTTGGGCGCGCGGGCCCTCCTGCCTTGACCCCCGCCCCACCCGGCGTTCCCGCAGCCTGCGTGCGTCTCGCCTGCTCTGTCCGCGTCCCTGTCGTGCTGTGCCTGACCGTGTCCCCTACGCCGAGAGAGAGGAACCTCCGCGGTGACTTATTCCCTCCCGGGAGTCGAGGGACGTCCCTTCTAGAGTCGGACTTATTTTCACTTCTCAGGCGAGAAAAGACAGAAGCTTGTAGAGAGGTCTCGTAAAGGTGCATTACTTAAACGAAGGGAACCGTGTCCGTCGTTTCCTTTTCCTCTTTGTCTTTGAGTTATCCTTGGCTGAACGATGATCTGCAGTGGGAAGCGGGTGGCAGTGATGCTTCATAGCCGGCACCCCCTAAAATCCAAAAGCGACAACTGATCTGGTATGACTCATGTTACCGACCAAGCCTCACACAGGTAAGATGTCTCACCTAAAATGATGAAACCTGCCTTGTTACCCTGTTTTCTGGACTCTGGAACGAGTGCTCTTTTCTGCTACTCCGCTTCTGCTTTTTTTTGCTCTTTGCGTTTAGGGTGCTGTTAAAGCAGGACTGAGCTAGCTTTTTGGCTTCCGTCCTTTTTTGGTTGTGGCGACGTGTTTGAGCCAGGGCTTCCTTACAGGTAGAGTGATTATAATAGTACTTAAATTAATTTCATATCCGTAACGCTGTTTAAATGTGAACTATTATTAGGATGTGTTTATTTAGCCTCTCCATTATAACTAACTTTAATGTTCTTTATTTAGATGCATCAGTTGATAAATAAGTTTATTCACTTTTTCTTACCTGGAATTTTTTTTTTTTTTTTTTCCCTTGAGTCCGGGTCTCTATGGCTCAGGCTGGAGTGCACCGGCAGGGTCATGGCTCACCACAGACTGAACCTCCTGGGCTCAGGCAATCCTTCTGCCTTATTCTCCTGAGTAACTGGGACTACAGGTGTGTGCCACCGTACGTGGCTAATTAAAAATTTTTTTTTGTAGGGATGAGGTTTTGCTATGTTGCCCAGGCTGCTGTCAAATTCCTGAACTCAAGTCATCCTCCCACTTCGGCCTCCCAAAGTGCTAGGATTATAGGCGTGAGCCACAAGTGCCTGGCCACTGAACAATTTTTTTAATGCCATGTTTTCTTCATCTTGGATCAGAGATACTGTTTGAAATATTTTATTTTTAAAATTATTTGTTTTCGTTATTATTGAATGAAACCAATAATAATATTTGTTTTGAAACCATTAACTTGAAATTTTGGTTGAGACATAAATATATGTATAAATAGCAATGTAAACTATTATAGTTTATATATTTGAGGAACAGTGAGTACATTGAAAATTTCATCATCAAAATAATCCAGCATTAAATACCAAATAGTTGTCTCAAATCATTTTATGAAATGCATGTTTCTTCAAGTCTTAATTGAAACTTAAAAATAATGTTGTGTTCTTTTCTAGCTACCTGTCATACCATGCTTTCCTGTGATATTTGTGGTGAAACAGTAACCTCAGAACCAGACATGAAGGCTCACCTCCTAATTGTTCACACGGAAAATGAAGTTATATGTCCGTTTTGCAAGTTGTCAGGTGTGAATTACGAAGAAATGTGTTTTCATATTGAAACTGCTCATTTTGAGCAGAATGCATTAGGAAGAAACTTTGAGAGGGTCAGTACAGTACAATATGAAACTTCAGATCACAAGAAAGACAACACCCTACAGTGTGTAATGGAAGTTAATTCAAGTATCCATTCAGCCTGTGCATCTAATCCAAAAAGTTCAGCACAAAGCCTCCCTAACGATAGTGCTTTAAAACATGAAGCCTTCTCTTCAGAGAACTTAACTGAATCTAGAAAATTCCTGAAAAGTAGGGTAAAACACTCTAACATAACCGAGATAAAAGGATCAATTTATGAAACAGTGTACAGTCCTCCGGAATGTCCATTCTGTGGAAAAATAGAGGCGCATAGTCAAGATATGGAAACTCATGTGAAAATAAAGCATGCCAGTCTTTTAGACATTCCACTACAAGGTAAAGTGTCTGTTGTATTATAAATTATCAGGAAGTCTCAAGTAAGCATGGGTTGTCTTAAAAGTTGGTTTGTTAGATTACTACAACTATGTTTTTAATTCCATTTTATGTCTGTAGCATTGTTCATTTGCCGTTATTGAAATAGAAAATTATCGAGAAAAATTTTGATACAGAGATAAAATGTTTCAGCTAAATTGAAAAGTAGTTTTGGAAACTTTTTGTTCAGTTTCCAGAGGGTATTATTTTTGTTTTCACTAGCTTGTGGCATCTGGACTGTCCCAGACTCTGACTTTGTGCTGAGTTCTAGTTTGACTCCATTATGACTAGAGAAGATATTCTGTCTGATATCAGTTCTTATGTTTGTTGGGGCTTATTTTGTGGCACAAGGTATGGTCTATCTTGGTACATGTTCCTAGGTAACTCAGTACTAACCCTTAACTTCAGCTGCATTCCACAGACTATTGCATATCCTTTAATTTTGTGCAAGATTTAAATCTTGTTTGTCTTTGCTTTCTGTATTTTATAAAGTGCTCTTTACTCTGAGGCCAAAATGGTATTCTCATATATTTTCTTATAGAAATTTTAATGTTTTGTCCTTTTTTCACACTTTGTTCTACTCCATCTAGATTGTGTGTATGTGAGTGTATATTGTGTGTTCTTTGTGTACAGTATGAACTAGAGATGTAATTTTTAATATTTTCCTATAAGGAAACCTGGTTTATTATTGATTCATAATATTTTTTCTGTCTTTCATTAACTTTTTATATCTGTATGGGTCAGTTTCTGGTCTGTTGGTTCTGCTTTATCTACTTGGGTATTATTTCCTTATGACACCATTTTAATAACTATTTTGTAGCATGTCATCGATGTCAGGACAATTCTTCTGTCATTCTTCATTTTCACTATCAACTTAGACTTTCTCAGCCTTTCATTTTCTGTTTGAGTTTTAGAACCATTTTGTCAAGTTTCATGCAAATTCTGTTGGAATTGTTTTAAATTGGATCAAAGTACATCTCCACATTAATTCAGGTCATCTTTTGTATCCCTCAATGCAATTTTATGAGTTGTTTTTTATTGTACATTTGTGTTAGCATTATTCCTGGGTAGTTTATAGGTTCTTTGCTTTGTAAGTTAGATTTTTTCCTCTTCTGAAATTACCTTTTACAGTTTCCTAGAAGCATTATCAATTTTTTTTTTTGAAAGCAGGATTTATTAAGAAAAGCTCCCACAGTGGGAAAGTACCTGAAGGGGTGCCTCAAATTTTTTATATATAGTGAAGTAGGTATCTAATTTTGTTCAGTTCTTTCTAAATGTAATAATCCATTGACTCCCTTGAGTGTTCTAAGTAGATGATTTTATTGTCTGCTAATAATGAAAATTTTATAGACTGCTGCAAGGATTCCCATTGATGAGAAATGCCTGACAGTGTACTGCTGATACTGTTTCTCGGTAAACTCGTGTCCAGTGTGACTTATGGTAGTCTTGTGAATTTGACTGTGTTTACTTAGTGAAAAAAAAGACCTTGCTGTTGTAGGGGTACAGAAGTGGAATAGATAGATAGCTATCTTTAGCCAGTGTTCAGTTACAACAAATGGAACAGGTGGGTTTGCAGGTAGTTTAAGAGAATGATTATCAGATAGAGGATCTATAGAATCTAGGCTGGAAAGTAAATAAAAACACAAGGGAGGTGATGAATAACAAAAATATAGGGCCTATATATATTCTGTCTAGAGGTTTTAATTAGGTCAGAGGTGTTTGTTTTGTTTTGTTTTGTTTTGAGTCAGGGTCTTACTCTGTCACCCAGACTGGAGTGCAGTGGCATGATCACGACTTACTACAGCCTCCCTTCTGGGCTCAAGTGATCCTTCTGCATCAGCCTCCCAAGTGGCTGGGACTACAGGTACATACTACCACACCTGGCTAATTTTTAAAAAATTTTTGTGGAGATGAGGTCTTCCTGTGTTGCCCACACTGATCTCAAATTCCCACACTCAAGCAGTCCTCCTGCTTTGGCCTCCTAAAGTGCTGGCATTATGGACGTGAGGCAACGCACCTGACCAGTCACAGACTTCAGAGTGGAGGAATTAAAAGATGGTGGAAGGATTGGTAGTTAGAGGAAAGATATTTTGAAATGGAGATATCAGAGGTGGTTTGGCTGTTAGTGATGATAAAACAAGTGTATAATTATGTCATTCAGTGGGTAAACTAGGGTGAAGGAAATGATTGTTGTAAGTGAAGGCACAGACCATCCCGATGAATATTGAAGTCGCTAAGAATGATCACAGTGGTTGGGCATGGTGGATCACACCTATAATCCCAGCACTTTGAGAGACCGAGGTGAGAGGATTACCTGAGCCCACGGGTTCGAGACCAGGCTGGGCAACTTGGTGAGACCTTGTGTCTACAATAAATCAAAAAATAAGCTGCCTGTAGTTCCAGCTACTTGGAAGGCTGAGGCGGAAGGATGACCTGAGACCATCAGGTCGAGGCTGCGGTGGCCGTGAGTGTGCCACTGCACTCCAGCCTGGGCAACAGAGTGAGATTCAAACTCAAAAAAAAAAAGAATGATCACAGTATAAAGACTAGGATACTAAAATCTTCATTAAATGAAAGGAAGTATCTAGGATTTCAGAAAATATTAGCCACTAAGAAAGGCATGAGATGCTGCATTCTGGTGACACAGACTAGTATAAGGATGAGGCTTTCAAGGAAAGAAGAAGACTGGTGTGGCAGTGATGAAAAGGAGGAAAAGGAACATCTTTTGTACTTGCAGGGTCCTGAATTATGAAAGAAAAATTTCCTCTGTGTTTGGGGCTGTAGAGGAAAGGGGGTCTCGTGGGTCAACCAGATTTCAGTGAAGGCAAGAAAGTAAAGTGACTATCTAGAGACGGATCATGTGTATAGAGAAGCTGACTGATGACAGACTATGGTTTTTGGAGCGTGGTAGTAGGTTTGGGAGGATAGGAGGGGAGATAGCTTGGGTCAGATTAGAGAATGTAATTAACACAGCTAATGACCACTTAGGATGGATTAACAGAAGACTCCATGATGAGGGCTAACCTGTGAGACTTAGACTTCTGGTGGTAGAAAAGATATACCAGGATGTGAGGTGCAGTGGTTTAATGTTGAGGAAGGAACCAGAAGGAATGGTCGTATTGGATTGCAATAGTGTGATGGTCAGAGGTAAGCAAAGACCTCCTGGGCATTGGTTTTGAGGCATTTATGGTAGTGCACTGACTGAAAGACCTCTCCTATATTCTGCAGCATTGCTTATGGAAGCCATACCTTTAGCTCTTAGTGCTGCTTTTGGAAATATCCCCTGAGTACTTCTTAATACTTCATTTTTTTCTTAGATTTTGCCAGGCGCATGGCTCACACCTGTAATCCCAGCACTTTGGGAGGCCAAGGCAGGACAATGATTTGAGCCCAGGAGTTAGAGATCAGCCTAAGCAACATAGCGAGACCTCATCTCTACAAAAAATTTAAAAATTAGCCAGGCATGGTGATGCATACCTGTAGTCCCAGCTACAGGTGTGCAGAAGGATCACCTAAGTCCAGGAGGTTGAGGCTGCATAATCTGTGATTGTGTAACTGCATTTCAGCCTGGGTGACAGTGTGTGAGAGACCCAGATTCAAAAATAATTGTCATTGATTTTTTAATTTCAATTATTATATTTTTCATTTTTAATATTTTCTTTTAACACCTTTTTGTTTTTGTTTTATAACTTTTTATTCTGATTTCAAAGACTCAGTTCCCTCCCTTATTTCAGAGAAGATTTTGAACATTTTTATTTTACAATCCTTTGAAGATTGCTGTTAGGTCCATTTCTTCACAGGTGGCTTCTTAGGTTTGTAGATATCTGGGCTATTTTGTGTGACATTGGACTTTTCAGTGTGTTTTGCAATTCACATGTTAGTATTCATCTGTTAAGGGAGTTTTCTCTCACATGATCCCCTCACATGGAAGTGGTTTCATGGTTCCTTCACCCTGGCTGTTCACGGTATCCTTCAGACCAGGCCTTCACCTTCTCTGCACAATTCTGGGTCCCTGTTCTGTGCCCATTGTCTAGGCCACAGTCTTGCTGAGGTACCACCTCTGTTCTTCCAAGCTGCATCTATCTCCCTGCAGTGCTGTCTGGCAGATGCAGCTCTTTAATCTCCTGCTCCCGGGTAGGCAGTGTGATCCCGGGGCCCAGCTCTATACCGGATGCTTAAGTTAGCTGCTTATCACTCAGTTTGGCGCGTGCTGAGAATGTAGCCCTAAAAACCAATGTCCACACTGCCCTTACTTGCCACCTTGGTTTTCCTTTCTACTTTTCTTGTTTGACTACAATTCTGAGTGTTTATTATTAACATTTTTTTTTCCTTTGGAGTGGTAAGAGAGGTTTCTGCTATGCTCAGTCTTCCATTTTGACCCTAGAAGTAGAAAGATAACTTTTAAATCCAACTACAAAGAGCTTTTGTTTTTATTATAAGGTTAAAAGATGCTAGTCTTTGATAGGGGGTGAAAATCTAAGAGTTTTAAAAATAAAATCAATTTAACTGTGTCTCTAATACAGACTGTGATCAGCCACTCTATGACTGCCCTATTTGTGGGCTAACGTGTGCAAACTACCATATTCTCCAGGAACATGTTGACTTGCACTTAGAAGAGAGCAGCTTTCAACAAGGTATGTTTATATGTTAAAAGAGAAAAATACCATAATTTCTACTTCCTAGGACACATGTCTAACTTTTAGATTAATGATCTAAAAATAAATATATTATTGAAAAGTAAATCTGTTCCTTTAAGAAATTTTTTCACAGAAAAGTTGTAAAAGATAGACTGTTTGACCAACATCCAGACTAGGACTGTGTATCCTGGGGGTTTGTCCCAGAGCACCAGTATTTAGAATACAAACATGATTTTAACTAAATATGCAGTAAAAGTATTTTATTTACTAGTAGAAGCCATTTCTTCAGCAGCTAGGAATAAATGAAGTTACTATTTGGTCAGCAAAAATTGCCAAACTAGGAAACTGCTATATGGCACATATAATCTTGAAAAACAGTGTGAGCTATGTAACCAAAATGTCTTTTGGTGCATTTCCAGCTGCTTGCCCCAGCTACTAAAATTACTTACTAGTTTTACTTTTGGTTTTATAAAAGTATACTGGATCTATAAAAGTTTTTCTCTGCCTCTGTGTTTTCTAATGGTGGCATTGACTAAGTAATCATCATGGTGCTTTAGAAACTGAAAGATCCCACATGAGTTTTACCGACCTACTGAAAAAAAACGTAAAGTAGATCCCAAGAGAAACCAACTGTGTTCTATTCTATTTTAATTTCTTAAGGTATGTAGATAACTCCTGCTACTGAATCTTTAGTGTCCAGTATTGATGATCCTAGTACCAATACCAGTCTTCATGGTTAACACTGGTTAACCATGGTCTTCATGGTTAACATTACCAGCTCACTTAGCCTGGTCTTCATGGTTAACATTACCTGCTCACTTAGCCTAACCCAGAGATGAAATTACTGGAGCAGAGATGGAAAAGTTCTCTACTCTGGTAGTTTACTACTGTCTAATATAGCTGGTGTGTTATCTTTCTTTGGACAAGACTGCAGTAGAATACTGTGAAAGGATAGCCCTTTTGAAGCTGAATGTCTGATAATCTTACTCTGTTTATGATAGGCTTTGTATGGTCACATATATTATGATGTAAGCCTGTAGTATATAATGCGGGAAGATAGGTCTAAGTAAATCACTGTAGATAGCCTCAGGGTACACTAAAAATCACTAGTGAGTTGGACATATCCAAGAATGCAAAAGGGTACAAATAACAAGGTGTAGCAGTGGCTGAAAGGTTTGATCCTAGTACCAGTACCAGTCTATTCAGTGACTTAATTAAGCCATCAGGTTAAGGGAACAGGGTGTGGCCAAGAAGCTACTGACTGATGGATCCGGGGGATACTGGATAGAGAGGAAGCAGGGTGAGATGTTGAGCTATACTGTTTGGGACCAAACTGTAACTAAGTTATCTAACACCTGTACTTTGTAAATTTATATTTTTATGCCCTTTATTATTTTCTTTTTCTTCCCTAGTATTTCTTTGAAAAATCATTCTGCCTTTGTTGTGTTAAGGAACATCAGTGAAGGGTGTTACTTAACCTCTTAGAGTACTGATTTCCTCAATAAATAATTATACCTATTTCATAAGGTTGTAATGATGATCAAATGAGATAATTAATGAAAAGTGTTTGTCATAGCTTAAATACTCAGTGAATATTAGTTGTCATTTAAATGGATGTTATTCCTTATAGAAGCAGTTCTAAGTTTTTATTTTTGTGCTTGGTTGTTTCATGACATCATAATCATGAGTAAATGGCAAATAATAGCGTTTGCTCTATTTTGAAAAAAGGTATTAACTAATAAGTAAACTTTAGTGCAGCAGTTATTTTATTCTGAACATTAAAAATACCTAACAGGCATGGATAAAGTCCAGTGCTCTGCTGATCTAGAATTGGCTCACCAGCTTCAACAAGAAGAAGACAGAAAGAGATCTGAAGAATCCAGACAAGAAATAGAAGAATTTCAGAAGCTGCAGGTACAAAGATTAATATTTTGATTAGGTGGAGTTCTTAACTGCTTTCAAATATGCTTTCAAGACTTCAGCCTATTTTTGTTTTGTTATTATTCAAAAAATTATATATGTATTTTATAATTCATAATAGTCATTTGCAAGTACTCATTCTAGTCAGGTACTGGGATGATTGCTTCATACATAATGTACAGAAAGAATCCTTGTAACTAATCCATGGAGAAGTTATTTTAGCCTCCCTGTCATTTTTTCACATGAAGAAATGAAGAGAAAGAATGTTAAGTAATTTGCTCAGAGTCAGGCAGCTATTAAGTAGTAAAGCTTAGGTTCAAACCTATGTAAGTTGATGGGACAAGTTAGGGAACAAATACTTCAGAATTTAAATGTTTGTATGGATACCTGGAAGTGAGATTTATACTTAGAATATTGTCTCCTGAATCTTTTGTTTTGTTTTTTTTGGATCGGAGTCTCACTGTTGCCTAGTCTGGAATGCAATGGCATGCTCACGGCCACTGCAGCCTCGACCTGATGGTCTCAGGTCATCCTTCCGCCTCAGCCTCCCAAGTTGCTGGAACTACAGGCATATGCACCACATCCGCTAAAAATTTGATTCATTGTAGAGACGAGGTCTTGCCAAGTTGCCCAGGCTGGTCTCAAACCCCTGGGCTCAGGCAGTCCTCTCACCTCCCAAAGTGCTGGGATCACAGGTGTGCACCACAGCCAGCTGTCTCCTGAATCTTAAATGCTTTTACAGGTGCAATTTCAGGCACTTAGAAAGAACCATTTTTAATGGAAAATGCTTTTAAAGATATTTGAATGGTGGTATGTGTCAGATTAAACCGGCAGTATGTTATATTTTTAATTCATTTACATTTTAAACGTCAGTTTCTTCTTTTCTCAATCCTAATTTTTGGACTGTAGTGTTGTCTGTGCTAATGATGCTCATGGAGTTTTTCATGGTTTTTTTCTATATGTTAATAGGATAGTGTATAAATTTAAAAAGTCTTATGATTGAACAGGTTTGAAATTATTCAATTAAACATGTTTATATATTTTAGGACTTCTCACAGCCTTTAATATACAAGTGTGCATTGTATGTATCATAATTTTCCGAGACTTATTTAACCTCTTTTTTTCTCAGATATCTTACATGGCTGTTGTTCCTTGGAATGTTCTTTGGGAGGTCTAATTTAGGACCTTTTTCTCACTGATGATTCATTTGCTTACAGAATATTTTCCTGCCAGGAGTCAGAGGAGGAAAGAAAATTGGCTTTTTCCAAGTCTTTTTAGGTCTTACATAATTTTGAACATTATCAATACAAAAAGTTTCCAGTATTTAGGAGGTTTGTGACATAACTTTGCAAATGAATTGTTTAGGTCTCAGGGAGGCTTTCCATAGAGACAGTATTATACACACTACTTGAGATTCTCTATCCGGTATACAAAAAACAGTTCATTTACTGCGTAGCATGGTTGACTAAAGGAATTATGGGTTAAGTAGACCTTTGTGAACTAGCCTGGGAATCAAATAACAGGAATTCACAAGCTTCCTTGAAAAAATTAACAATATGTTCAGAACTCTTCTGCCTTTCACAATATTTACAGGAGAAAGACAGGACCCTCTATTTTTCCTACCATAAGGAAAGCAAGTCTTTTGCTAGAGGTTGATTATAGACAAGATATTGTTAATTATTAAGTTAGGGATTGTGTGTGTGTGTGTGTACGTGTATACACGTGCTTGAGAGAGAGGAGAAGGGGGAGAGAGGGAGAGAGAAAGATAGAGAGAGATTGAGAGGCAGAGAAAGAGAGATTGAGGGATTTTTTTAGTCTATAAACTGGAATGTTTCAACATACATTTCCAAATAAATAAAAATGTGGTAAATTTCCATCCACATTAAGGTTCCAGGACATAAAAATTAAGTCATTTGTTTTTGTGTCCAATAGAGACAATATGGTTTAGATAATTCTGGAGGATACAAACAACAACAACTGCGAAATATGGAGATAGAAGTCAATAGAGGAAGAATGCATCCATCTGAATTTCATAGAAGAAAAGCTGATATGATGGAAGCCTTAGCTGTTGGTATTGATGATGGAAAAACAAGAACTTCTGGTGAGTACTTAAATATCACTGTTGAGTACTTAAACATCACAGTCATATTGTTTTTTTTTTGTTTTTTTTTTTTTTGAGTTGGAGTCTCACTCTGTTGCCCAGACTGGAGT